TTTTTAGCACCAATAAAGCATATACTCATTTATTTAGACACCAACCAAAATGCATGTTAGTACACTGCAGAGCCGCTGTGTGGCGTCTTTAAATTTGAATGACATCCACACAAAAAATAACTGATATTTAAATCTTTATTTATTTACAGGTAAAAAACGTATGAATTTATTAAATTTGTTTGTAAAATGGCTTTGTTAAATTGGTATGTATTTATAAAACTTATATTTGGTGACATCTGATAAAGCGTTAAAGTAATAAATTAGATTATAAATATATATGTTTTTACTACGATAAAAAATATAAGAAAAGAATATGAGTTTTAAAATAATTTTAAAAATTGTTTTAAGCAACTTGAATGTAGTAACTTTAAATAGAATCAAAATAAATTAAAATTAATTGTAGTACAATAATTTAATTAAGATGAAAAGTGGCTTACAATACAGCGAGAGTCCAAACCGAAAAACGACTAAGCCATAGTTAGAAGCCGAATCAGCAGTTACTAAGTCTCGCCCTCAAGTCCAACATATGTCACTAATCCCAATAGGAAAATAGAAGGAAACGAGGTGAACTCATGCCACATCAACTGCTGCGTAGACATAATAACCTTGGCAATCGAATGAGCCACTAAACGATAACAAAGCCCAACTAGTCAGGAATTAAAGTTAACGCAACATGCAATAGACACCCCAATTCAAATCGTATAACCTCGCTATAAGCCCCAATGCCCCACTCCCTAGCCCTTGCCGTGACTTAGTCCTAGAATATGGGGGATTGCGTGACGCTAGCTTCTAAATATATGTACAACAATTAGTTACAAATCAAGGAACCTATGACAACAACACCTGAATAATAGACAACGTGTAGTATAAATTGTCTCTACTGTCTCGTAGCGAGCACGAGCACGAGCACCAAGCTGCCAGGGAGGGTTGCTTGTTAAGTTCAAAACTAACTATAGGACAGATTTAAAAAACAAAAATATTACCACATTTTTTCATATTCACATTTGTTACACTTCCATAAATATGTGGGTCAAGAATTGACCCTAAAGCATCATGTCAAGCTTAATTTAAGCAGTTACATTCTTGTTATTAGAAATTGTATGCCTTAGATAAAGCAAGGCTACAATTTCAACAAGAATTTTCTGAGTTCATGGGTCATGGTTTGAAACCTTGCCCGCCCTTAGATCCGGTTCGTTTACCTGGCTTATCACATCCGTGAACCTAAGTTTTAGTTTGAACCACGACTCAATTAATTTTCTATTTTCTATTACATTTTATTTTATATTTGCTGCTTGCCTTAAATTAATATAGAAACTAAAAAATGTTTCAAACAATATATTCAAATATCTCACAAAATTGGCTTAAATGCGTAAAAATATATTTTTATATGTTCAATTTATAGATTTTACAAATATACATACTATGCAAACCTTCAGCTCATTGATCAAAATGCATAAATTTCTTTAAGGCAATATAAATTGTACGATTGAAATAACGGAGAGCAGGTACGAAACTCCCCTCGTATAGGCGCATAATTTGTATATATTAAACATCATAATGCCATTAGTAAAGGAACAAGCCAGGGCATTGCACAGAGGCGCGTCTAATGCGCCCCTTGTGCTCATAAAATTAATCAAAGCCAAATGAGATTTGCATACAACAAACCTGAAACTGGGGCTGAGTTCTTGCCACATTGCCACATTGTTGGCGTGTTGAATTTGCATTTCGCTACGGCGCCCAACTAATAAATTTGTATGTCAATAGAATGAAGGAGGCCAAGACGGAGTCGCTGAATGGCCAGGTGAGCGCGCCTCGAACTGCGCAAGGACATTGCCGCTGCGAAAAGAAGAAGAGGAAAAATAAGAAGAAGCAGGGCGCATTCATATCCAAAACAAATTCTAAGTATTGTAATTCGAAATTTTTCAAAGCAAATAAAAGCAGTCGAGTTTTAACACTCGCGCCAAACAGTACGCAGCAAGCGCGTTGGCAAAAAAAAAAAAAAATAATAATAAAATAAGCAAAAAACAAAAGAAAACAAAGTGAAAAAAAAAGTGCATGGTATATATATTTGTGAGTGTCGTTTGTTGAAAGAAAAATCCAAAAAGAAAAAGCTCCCGCTGTGACGAGCTGCGTATCCTTGCGTTGAGCTCAAAGTGCAAAGTGCATTAGCCTGTACGTGGCCAAGTTATTGCCCTCTGGCTAGAGGAAAATCGATAAAATTGCAGTGTACAGTTGTTGTTTATGGCCAACTGCAACAATTGATAATAAGTCTGTGGGGCAACAGTGTCTAATGTGCGCTTTGTGCACACTCAGAGAAAAACGACGCTAGTATCAATCAAATCAATTGAAGATTCAAATTTCATATGCTTAGCTGCCTTACTCTTAATTCGAACACTCGTATTCTTGTAATAAGAAATTTAGTGCTTAAATCAAGCTTAACTGAGGCTGCAATTCTAGCCAAAATTGTCAGTGTTACGAAAGATTCGAACCTTTATCTCACTCTTAGATCCGATTCCACACAAGTTTTAAACCTTGGTTCGCTCTATTTTGTAATTTTAAACTAAATTTTTAAGTTTATTTTAATTTAGTATATTTTTTTTGGGAATTGTTTAAGTTTTGAATATTTGCCATCCTAAAATAGCATAAAGTCTAGAAACACAAAAATGATTCCAACAATATTTTTAAATATCAAACAAAAACAGAAAGGATAAGGGCTCAGTTTATAGAAAAAATTAAATTTGCATTTTCGCTAAGTGTATTCGCAGTGATAAAATCGCAACTGCATTGCCCCGTTTTGGAAAAACTTTGGCAACAAAACTCAATTGACTTTTGCTGCTTGCAAAGTTTGTTAACATTTGCATTTTGCATTTGGCCAAATTGCGAGTGAATTCTAATTGAAAAGAAAGGCGCGCGCTTAGAGGGTTACAAGTTACTTCTGTTTCTTGTTTCTGTTTGTTTTTTTTTTTTCTTATATGCCACAGCAGGGCAGGCAAGTGCGCAGTCATTGTGGCATCGAGTATACGTACCATGTGCCCCGACAATTGTTGATAATCAATTTCGCAAGTCTGTGCGGCAGTTGACATGAAAAACCTACTCTGTGGAATTTTTGCTGTGCAACGGCGGCCCAAACAAATCATTTGTGCCACTAATTTGGGGCTGCTTGTTGTTTTTTTTTTCTTTCCTTCTTTTTGGGGGGCCTGCAGCCGCGTGGCGCCTCGCGCTCAGTTGTGACTTTGCACGTGCGAAGGCCACGACGCGGCAGCAGCCTCAACTAACTGACTTAATATATAGTTTTAAGTGCTGCGTAGGGTTTGTAGTGCAATTTGATCGATTTAAGGCAAAACTTTTTGGCCTCTGCCCAAAGTTAATTACCAGGTAGTGCCGAGAACCAGTTCCAAAAACTAAAACTAAAACTAAAATCAAAATCAAAGCCTGAACCCCAACACATTGAAATGAGTGAAACCGATGCGGTGAGTCTTAACACTTTATTGGCCTTATTTGCATTTGCTTTCTGTACTTATCATAAAAATGTACTCAATTCTTAAGAACTGCACGCCAAAAGCACCAAAAACGCAAATCAAATTTATGCATAGATAACAAATGAAGAGGCAATTTGTGCTGGTCTTGTATCGTTTTTACGAAGAGCCCTGTTCCTAGCTTAAAAATCGCCACAATTTCGTAGCCGTTTATTAACTTCTTTTTAATACTAACATCCTATTCCATTGAGATGGGTTCATACATTATGCACAATAGTTTAGCTTGGCATTAAATAGACTTTGACTCCAAATAGAAAAAATTTAAAAATGCGATTTATACAAGAGACATTGAAGACACTCTCCAAATTGTTATAGATGCAATATTTTTGTTCGTTTGAAGTATTTTTCATACTTTTTTCGAAATCCAACACCATGTATTTAATAAAGTATTATTAGACAAAACTATTAACAAAGTTATGTGGCAAGTGGATGCTCTATAATAAAGTAAATCTTCTTAGGCTAAACTTAATTACTTTGGACGTGAATTTGCTTAAGTTTCTTTATTTATGAACATATATACTATTATCATATACTATATATATGTATGGCAAATATATATTACATATTTAAATATATGCTAGAAAATATGTTATTGTTTCTTGAAAATATTTGTAATAGTTTTAAGTTTATTCAAAGAATAAATATTTTATATATGTATACATATATAAATTTATGGATTTTGACACTGTTTCAAAGTTCAATATTATTTTTTGATTAATTTTAAATATGTTTTAAAATTAAGCTAAATTCGATATTTGGAGCTGCTTTCAATGTATGCGATTATTCTTCGTTCTAAGTTGAATTTGAGGCGATTTCAAAATTGGGAATCCGACATACGTGATTAATAATATTTCTACACATTATTGTATTGACCTTGGGAATCGGTTTGTAGCATGCCACCAGGCCAGACAGGTCGCAACAATTTCTGTGGCAACCAAATATGCGAAAGAACCCTTTGGAAAACCAAACAAAATCAAACAACAATTTGGCCAATGGCGCATTGGGGCTTCATTTTTATTTGGCTGGGCTGGCTTGGTAATTCGCCTGGTCTTAGAATTGTCGAACTTTTGTTGAATCAATAAGCGACAGGGCAAACGATTTGGGTCACATTCCAAGCAGCGAACGGAATTCATGACAAATTTGCCTAATGGTAACCCAAAACTCCCTCCAAAAATAAGCCGAAATACCAAAACAATAAACTGTAAACAAATGCAAAGAAGCCATCAAAATTGAGAGCTCCACTCGATAACCGACAATATATATTGAAATACGTACACCCACACCCATACCCAAGCACACCCGCAACCACCCACGACCACCCACTCACTGGCTTACCGTACATGCAGGCACGTATGCAAATGATGTGTTGCTGGCTTTCTGCTGCCCCACCTCCTTCGGGCTGGGGCTGAGCGGCAGCCAGGTATCGGATTACCCGACACTTGCACATTTCTGCACCGACACCGCAGGCGTTAGGTTCAGGCTCAGGTCGCACCGCTTTTTTCGAAAGTCTGCGGAATGTACAGCACAAACGCGTCCAACCAGCCGGAGCGCTCCAATTCCCAAGCAGCTCCAACTACAAGTTACTTGAGTCGCGAGGTACGCACTGCAGCCGAGCACACAGAGCCTGTCAATCTGACTCAGCAGCAGCTGCCCGTCACGGACTATGTCCAACGCTCCTATGTGGAGCAGCGTGCACTTCCCACTTCCGACTATTCCGCGCGCTCCCAGCTAGAACAGTCCAATCTCAGCACAGAACGCTTCATGCAGCAGCGGGCGCCGCCGCCTAATCCAGAGTATAACAGACCCCGAGCCAGCTTGGAGCGCACCGATTACACCGCTAAAGAACGCACCAGCACTGAAACCAACAACAACAGCAACAATTACAACGATTATGTGCTCCAGGAGCGTTCCAATCCCAACTATGTTTTGCCATCGCAGATGCGTCCAGCTGCGGGGCCACCACAGCACCGTCCGCCCTTTGCGGGCGCACGTCCCATGGTGGGCGTGGGGCCACGTCCACCGCTGCCGCCCAATATGGCAGCCAGGCCCATGCCACCGCCGCTGCGCCCAACCGACAGCAAGAGCAACTTGCTCATGGGCCCGCCACCACCAGCCATGCGGCCGGGCATGCCGCCCGCACGTATGCCCAACCAGGGCGGACCACTTAGCCCACCAGGGCAGGGCGCGCCCAGGCCTCAAGGCGGATTTCCCTGGTCGGCGGGAGGCATGCCGCCGCCACCGGGCGCACGTCCGCCACAGAACATGTCTCGACCGCCGCCGCCCACATTTGCGCGTCCCATGCCAGGGCAGCCGCTGCAGGCGCCTTTCCGTCCGCCGCTCTACAACCAGCAGCAGCAGCAGCAGCACCAGCAGCAGCAATTGCAACAGCTGCAGCAGCAACAACAATTGCAGCAGCCGCAGCAACAGCAGCATCAGCCACGCCCACCCTCAGCCAGCAGTGTGCACAATGAGGATGACGATGACGTCATCATGGGTCAAGCCTTAACCCCGCTCAAGAGCTACAGCATGAAGGCTGATCCCATGGGCTCCCCACTGCTAGAGGAAACAGAGCCCCCATTTGAAGCCACATCGCCAACAGATGCATTGCCCAAGTCACAGGGCGGTTACAGTAAGCACTAGTGGGCGTGTCCATTAATAAAGCCATTTCCCAAACACAAACACAAACACAAAAAAAATCTTGAGTGGAAGCTCGAAGGTGAAGCATAATTAATTCGATTCCCATTATATATTTGCAGAGGGTGACAATGACAGCGGCGTGGATGAATCGACTCAGGAGAAGGTGAGTTTCCGTTCGATACAAAAAACCAATCAAAAAACGGGTTATTGTTGGATAGTTAAATGTCTGGTGGCTCGTGGAGTTCATCTATTTTTGGTGCGTTGCTCTTAATTGAGAGGAAATTAGCTGACTGCAAATTAATTTAATTCAGTTGACCGCCGAACTGCGTCGCCCACTGCGTCTGCAGCTAGTTATACTCTTGCCAAGGGTATAACAAAAATATCGCGAAATGTGCAAGAAAAAAATAAATATATATTCGTGATCAGTAGAAACAGCCGAGTCGATATTTTCAGAATTGATAACAATTATTCAGGCGATTTTTAAGAAAACTTGATGAGCAAAGTATTTGTCCAATTCGACTGGATCGTATCACTATATAGTATAGTTGCAGTAAAACTGATCATGATCTCAACTAACCTCGGCATTTAGTAGTAGATACATATACATATATACATGAGTTAAGTTCTTATGCGAAAAATATTTTTTTCCTTCAAGATCTCTTAGCCAACGTGACCATGATTTAATTATATGAGCAATATCTTATTTATCAAACTGTAAATCTGTTTGAGCGTGCAAACATGTTCTAATCTACTTAAATTGAATCAAAATCCTTTTATTCAAGGGTATACAATCTTCGATAAGCCGTAGGCAACTATTTTTCTATTGTTCTTCATTTCGTTATGTTTTGCTGTGTTCACAAATCATAAATATCTGTAAATGGCAGCCGATTGCCGCCTTAACAGCGACCTCTCCACGCTCCATTAGACAGCGCCAGTTGCTGCTCCAGAGCTCTCGTTCCTCCTCATAGCTCAGAGTTCGCGGTTCGTGTGCAGACGCCAAAGTTCAGACAAAGTTGTGGCTTTACAGACGTCAGTTGGCGCAACGGAATAACCCAAAAGATACCTCAATTTGCATATATATCTATGTCTATATAGATATATACATACATATATATATACATATATATATATAAATATATGTGTGCGTGCATTATCGTCTTGTGACTAGGTCCAGAACTTTACAGGTGCGCAGTGTCGAAATCAACAAAACTTAATACAGTCAAACCACAGTAAAGCGAACGTAACTAAATTGTGTGCTGCTGATATACAAAAGGGTATTCAATCGTCTGCCTTTTTATCATTGTTTATACAAGTCTCCCGATTGCCCACAAATCAGAAGTTGTCTAAAAAAAAAACAGCTTGTTTTGCGTTAGAACTTTGATCTATGACACAGACATTTATTAGTGCCCATGCGCACCCCTTTAGGTTCGTTGTAGCCAAATACGACTGTACAGCAAATTGCCAAATGTAATGCGATTTACAAGCCAAGGTGGCCCGTCGCCAGATAAGTGCTGCCTGAGGCAAACACGAAACAGTTTGGGACTGGGCTTTGGCACAACATTTTTTATTTTCGGGGCGCCATGAGCTCTATAAATATCTGGGAAATAAATATCCATTCCATTCATATGCAAAGCGACACGAAGTTCGGAGGCCGTGACAATCGATAAAACAATGCATAAACTATGTGAATCCTTCGTGTCGGCCAAGTAGACGCACCTGGCACCAGACCAGTCAGATGGTCGGCTCAATGGAGACTCAGAGTCATAAATGGCATAGCGTTGACAACAGCGCTGCATATAACTATAATTATTGGCAGTCGTAAATTCTGAAATTAAAGCCTAACAATATGCATTTGATTGTAATGGCAGATGCGAGCTATCTGATTGTAAAGGCCAGACCAATTAGTTGACAATTTTTTATTCATTCTATTTTTGATTTTACCTAGGATCGCAACGGACCGCATTCGCCCAGCTCGCCGGTCAAGACGCCCACATCAAGCTCATCGAAGCCAGACAAGTCGGGCATATCGCGCCCTCCGAGTGCCACGCCCTCAAATAAATCAGCATCCAAGTCGCGCAGCGCCTCCAAGAATCGTTTGCTGCTAAAGACACCCGAGCCTGAGCCGGCCAAGAAAGGTGAATACCCTACTGATCTCAAATAAAATCCTCTGTATCTAATCCTCTTATTCTCAAATCCTTTGCCCTGTCAGTTCCAATGAACAAGGTACAGGTGGGACATGCCCCTTCGCCCAATCTGAAGGCGGTACGCTCCAAAATTGGTTCGCTGGACAATGCTACCTATAAGCCCGGCGGCGGTCATGTTAAAATTGAGTCCAAGAAAATTGAGATTAAGGCAGCGCCACGCATCGAGGCCAAGAATGACAAGTATATGCCCAAGGGTGGCGAAAAGAAGGTAAGTCTACGCCTGAGTTGAGGGTTTGGTTCTGTCTACAGACATGACAATCTGGCAACATAAATTAAAGATACCCTGTACCCAATGCGCAGACATGGGTATACCGAAGTCTTACAAATGACAAATAGCATTGAAATATTATTGATCAGCATTAACAGCAGAGGAAATCTAATTGTTCGTCTGTCTGACTGTCCGTTCGTATGAATTCAGTTACTTTAAGAGCCAGAGACTTCAAACTTGCAATGAAGTTTCTCATAAATAATCATTGCATACATAGTTCAATTTAAACACAAATTTAAATTACATCTTTCGGCCCAAATAAACATACAACAACTTTTCAAATAAATTCAGCAAGACTCAGCTACGCACAGGGTATCTACTAGTCAGGCCATCTCGACTAGCGCACTCTTAGCTTGGTTTTTAGTTTTTCAATTTTGAGAATTACTTATTTATATGAAACCAAAGAAAACGTAAAGTATATGATAGAAAATCAATTTCACGGTCGATTTGCGATTCAAGATATAGTCTGTATATATAATTGTATGTATGTATATGCATACACGTATTTAGGCACACATGTATTTTCCATGCATTCTTTTGTATCTTGTGTCGGTTTTGCTGTAGGAAATGCAATTACAGATACGCCGCGGCACTAAGCAGCATTATTTGATAGCCTTATGTAGCACATACCAAATCAAACTGAAACTAAACCTCTATCAATAACTTGAATTTGTAGCTGGGTGTGTTCTCTGATATTGAAAAATAAGAGCTAAAAAATAACTGAAAAAATAACTTATGCGCAGCTTTGCTTAATACCGTTCCTGATCCTCATGGCAATCAGTCCGGAACTATTTGCCTATACACCTTTGGCATTATAAGACAGATTGGATCAACACACGCCGACCCAATATATGTATATGTTCAGCTAGCGATGACAGAAACGTGATATCGATAGACGATAGATTAACAGGGTTGCTTTTACTTGCCATTGTGAATATCAAGTATTTGTCGAAAAACCCCCAAAAATGCAAATAGCTAAATAAGCTTTCTAAAGCCCGTCATTTGCAAATCTTAGCAGTTTTAAGTTGTCGACCTCTGAAAATAGCCGTATTTAGCTCAAAAATAGCTGAACCGGCAACACTGGTATCAGTTGCACACACATATTTGACTTTTAATTGTTTTGTATCTATTTGCAAACCACTAAACCACCAAACCACGCCCACATTTAAACACCACAAAATGCAAAAAAAAACCCCAAAAACCAATTTGTAGATAGTAACAACAAAGTTGCAGTGGAATGCAAAATCGAAAATTGGTTCGCTGGAGAATGCCGCCCATAAGCCCGGCGGCGGCGATAAAAAGATCGAGTCCCTCAAAATGGACTTCAAGGACAAGGCCAAGCCGAAGGTCGGCTCCAAGGACAATGTGAAGCATCAGCCCGGCGGCGGCGATATCAAGGTAAGCTTCAAGCCAAAACTTTTAGCGGATATCTGAATTGTGAATTTTAGCCCGGCGACATACGAGTACCGTTTCTTTTATCTCTGATTTATCTTTATAATTTTTACTCTCCTGAGCAGTAAGGAAGTTTTTTTTTCTTGTTTTTTGTGGTTGATGTTCCACTTTGATCTTAACTTTAACTGGCATGGGCATGGGCATGTGCCGTTCCAGCTGCGGCTCAACTGCATGTTTATGCAAAATACACTTTTAGTTCTTTTACGGCATGCTCTCAGCTTAATTATAAGGTGTTTGACCGAACCTAACACTTACACATCCATTCAAAAATTTGCGAAAAAAAAAAGAAACAAACTCAATGCAAATTTACAGAGCTATTCGTACAAGTTCCCTAACAACGTTGTCTATGGCGAGGGCTCCAAAATAGTCTGCCATCGTCGAATGCTGAATAATACGCGTCTGGATGAGAATTTATATAACGCCGACGATTAGTTTGGGGTAGTTGGGTACGTAAAGCTAAAGCTAAAGCTCAAGTCGCTGCACTTTAAATCGGTGGTAATACAATATCAGCATCTAACTAACCCCATTCGGTTCCATTTTAGCTAATGTTTTGGCTGAACTAGTAGCCTAGCATTGTTAATAGCTGTTACAGTAAGTTAAAGAGTTCCCCTTGTACACTCAGAGAAAAACGTGGTAGTATTATCGTTGAGTATTACCGAAATTCACTTTAAACCGATTTGGCCTGGAGAAATCTTAAATTCTTTGAATACTTTAAAAATAAACCCGAAATTAAATTTAAGCGTAAATAATGTCAAGAGAAATATATATGTATATACTAGCGGGTATTACCCGGCCTTGCCCGTGGCAATTTGAGCGTGAAACGTCACCCTCCACCCTCTGAACGCCATTTCCACCAAAGAGGCATATATTTTCCAAAAAGTGGGGAAACACCCCTCAAAATTTTCCACTTAACAAGTTCGCTCTTAGTAATCTGTACAGAGTGCGTGATGTTTTCTCTGAGTGTACCCATATTAACATGTATATTAGTCAATCTATGGGAACGATTTAACTTGTACTAGAAATTGTATAATTTTCTAATTGATTGACCATAATTAAACAAATATTTGGATTATATACTTTGCTTTAACCATAAAAATATGTGCCTTTAACAAATGATCACAAACATAAAAGGATAACAACACAAAGAATGTAAGTAGTTTCAATAAATTGTCTGTGCCAAATTAATTTGTATATGTTTAATGTGCACTTCTGTACAAAATATGCTCGTTGTCTATAAACAATTTTCCTTATTTGGTTTTTTTGGGACACATAATCTCACTTTTTGAAGAACCGTGTCAAAAGTAAAACTTTAATCACCCCAGTAGAAATGTAGTCTTGTAATTTCATGCATATGTTTTCTCCACATTTTCAGTTTTCAGTAAATGTTTCTGTGTTGTTTGCGCTGTATAAAGAAAAATTCTAAATTGCAGTTATATCAACGATTGGCATTACGATCCGCTGTCGTGTGTTCATAATACACGAAATTCCTTACCAAAAATATACATAAATAAATAAAAATATATACAGAAATATACGTATATAGTTGAGAGTTGCTAATCAATTTCTGTGCGTTGCCGGTGCTGCTACAATTTCAGATACAATCGCAAAAAATAGAAATTAAGGCACAAAGCAAAGTTGGCTCGATGGATAATGTTAAGCACAAGCCCGGTGGCGGTGAGAAGAAGATTTTCGATGATAAGGATTATTTGAAAAATGTTGAACACTCTGTTGCACTGACAACACCACCAACACAGGTAAACAACAAACGAAATAGTGTCGAAAGCATTTTTCGTAGAACATTTTTAATCTGATTTATTCAATTTGTATTCGCATTTGATTTCATTACGAAACGCCCAAATCTCCAATCGATTCATACATCAATCAATTCATATACATCATCTGTACATATACAAATGACATCCCATTTTGTGTTTAGCTCAAGAAATTCATTTTTTAATCGTAATTATAATTGCAATTGTAATCGCGTTGGCATTTGTTGTTTTCATTTATTAACGTGTACTCTATATGGCATATGATCAAGTAATATCTGAGAGCACCGCACCCAAAAAAAAAAAAACAAATAAAAAAACAAAAAAACAGCACCCACAATAGCTTACGAACCACCGAGAAAATTAATAAACAGCTCTTGCTAACTTTTCCTATAAATTAAACCCATAACAATTCATACCGCTGACTGAAGGCAAAGCAGATAACATCTGAATAGCTCCAAAATTTATGTACTATAATACCAAAATGTATTTTATGGCACTATCAAAACACATACACATTTTATAGCGGGTGTTATTTATTATTTTCATTGTGAATACTTTCAAGTTTTTTGTTATTTTATTTTACTTTACATTTTAAAATGAATTTCTTACAAACTCAAACTGAGATGCATTGGCAAAAACAAAAATTGAATATCGAATAGAAAATTAATCTATAATTAAAAAAAAAAAGCGCGCTTCATATTCATACTAAGCATATAAGATCTCGTACTCGAAGGCGTGTTTAACATTTTACACACATTCACTTCTCTATCTTTCTCTCTTTCTCGCCCTCTCGCTCTCGCTCTCGCCCTCAATATATATAATATCGCGTAACGATCCATCTGGAACTCGTAGTTTGCGACGCAGGGTCGCTTGGTTGCCACCATACACCTAGAATTCGGTCTTTGTAACTCAGACTGTGTGTGTAACGATATATTTGATTCGCTTTTTAAGTGAAATTCCTAAACACGAAGACATGAAAATCAAAAAACTAAAACCATCAATAACAAACCAAAAAAAAAAAAAAAAAAGAACATTAAAATATAATTAGCTTTACTTAACGTTTGATATGAGGTTTAAAACTGAAGAAGCAAAAGTATATACAACATCTCAAATTTTGTTTTTTCAAAAGGAAAAACATTTAAAGCAAAATATCTCAAATGAGTTTGCAAGAGTTTCTATTTTCAATTATTTTAAAGAAGAACAAAATAAAACAACAAGTTTGTTAATTTCGGCTAGCTGAAATTTGTTTATACCCTTTCCAATGTTAAGCCCCTTGGAAAATGTATGAATCTCGTAACATTCGTAACAAGAGATGTTCGCCAAACTTTTGTTAATTCCTTTAGTATTTAAGTGAAAGCAACACGCCAATCGAGTATTATTTATGGCAAAAGTCAATACTTTTATACTACATAGATTAGTACAAATTTTTAAAAGATATTGGTGTGTACACGAAATATAATACAGTTACTGAACAATAGCAATAGAAATGCTCAATCCAATATATATATAAATATATATATATATGTATATATACATATATATATATCTGTATATGTATAATCTGATGATAGTGAAAGTCTGTCCAGCATTTAAAATCATGAAAAGTGCAAAATGCTTTTGCTCTCGCCCTCATTTCATACACGAACCTATGTAATACGAATTTAATTGGGTTTGGCTTGAACTCATCTACATAAGAATTAACCAATTTAAGTTATTTTTTTTTAGTTCATTTTTATTTCATTTGAATACTAAATATTTATTTATTTCTATTTGAATTTATTATAGGAATATATATATACATTTTATTAGTCATAGTCATACGAAAACTCTTAACCAAGTGCATTAAATTCGAAACAGAAAAGAACCGTATACTCGTACTATACTAATGTGACGTCCATTAAACCGACTTCTAGTTATGAAACGATGCGATTTTATGCCATATTTTCGTATAACGCTCACGATTAAAGTCCTGTAAGTTTTTGCGTGCGAGTTGAAAACTCTTGTGTGCATTGCGTATCTTTTAACAGTGCTGTGATAGATTAACCGAACCGAACCGTACCATACCATACCGAACCGAACCGAACCGTACCGTACCGTACCAATAACTGATTTGATCAAAAAGACAATATAAAGACAATTTAGTGTTTATATTGTCTTTGATCAACCCAACGCCCATATATGGTGTCCCGGTTTCATATGGAAAATTGTGCTTGCTGTGCTCAGTTTGCTTACCGTTTTGTTTGATGCCCTTTAATTTGTCATTGTTTTGCCTGAGTTGATTTTTAATTAAATGTTTTATGTTTGCCATTTGATTATTTAAACGATATTATATTTTTATCTTGAACGCAGAGTCCACAACCATCCATGACGGCTTCAACAAGCGGCGCTGATGAAAATTTAAATCAACAAAGTTAAATCCAGTCCAAATATGCATGTTGAGCTGAAGTTTTACTTTCGTTTGATGCAAATTTGCAAATTACATAAATTGCAAAAGAAGAAAAAAACTAAATTGAAAATAACAAATAAAAAAAAAAGAATTTTGAACAAAGCTTATTTGAAAAATGTAATCTTAAGCAAAAGTTACACAAATTGAAATATATGCAATAATTACCACACAATACGAGTATTTACTCAAAATTAAATTGTGCAAGCACACAACACACACTCCGTTACAAAAATAAAATAAAATAAATTATATGATTAGTTGATCTATGCACTATTTATCAATCAGATACCAAGGCAAATGCATAAACTATATAAATCTTTATATACAAACAATAAGCAAATTTCATATACTACAACAAACATATATATTGAAAAAAATAATTAAAATAAAAAAGAAAGTATCTAAAGTAATAAGAAATTATACAAAGCATAAACAGTTAGTTATTTGCATATATATATATATATATATATCAACTGTGTGCTTTACGTGTAGTTAAATGTGTTGAAAAATAAAATGAAAAGTGAAACATGAAAACTATCAGATACAAGTTCGCAATTCATATACAAATTTAGATACTTTTACTTTTTGCAAAAACCGCAACCGATTCGAGTACCACAATTTAAGCATACATATTATATGATATATATTTTATAATTTGTACGAGTAAACATAATAATTAGACAAATGCATCATTCTCACAATTTATTTACACCACTCTCCTTTGTTACAAAAATGTAAGAACAAAAAAAAAAAACAAAAAAAAAGAGAATTTCAAGCGTAATAAAACAAATCTTTTTTCATTTACCAAATATAAATTACTTGGCGTTAAGTGCACTTAGTAACTCTCAATTCTGACAGCCAATTTGGATATATATTTATATATATGTGTAAGCGTAACTATTTGGTAGCAAGCAAAGCCACGTCCACGCCGCAAGCGTATCAAATGCTACACACACACACACACAAGCGCACATATATCAACCACATTTGGATGCATTGGTAAACAGAGAAGCGAACAAATTTTGACCTAGCCCAAAAAAGTAAATTGTAAGTTTCTATCTGAAGTTAGTTTTGAAATTTGAATTTACGTTATTTCTAACGATCAGTTACATTTTTTCTTTTGTGCTGGCATTTTACTACAATAACGGTCTTTTTCGCTCGTCCTCACAGTATTGGAAAGCGCCGCGCATACAACGTGCCACAACACTGACCTCATCCATGTCCTTGCCAGCGGAATGCCTAGTGCTATCCGTTTCGATGCCCTCACTGAACTCCGAGCCCAAACGCCCCAAGAGTGCGGGCGCCAAAAAGAAACCCGGCCAGGCTGTACATCCCAAGCCCTTCCGTTTGTATTGAGCCACGCGCCGCCACCAACACCACGCTGCACCATAATCGTTGCACCGATAGATCTCCTCTATATATATTTACGATATGGAATTGTTAACAAGTTGAAATCGTGGCACGCGGCACTTGAACCCAAAACTAGATTGTTATTTGTTTACGACAAATTGAAGAAACGTGGCATTTAAATAAATAAAAGAAATTTTAATAACTAGGCAATGTTGAGCACACAAATCGAACAGTTTTTTTCTGATTTTATTATAATTACAGCATTGTATATATATATATATACTTAACGATAACTCGTTAGTAGATAATCAGTTACGGCTGTTGCGTACAAAGACGCTCGCCATTCGTCGTTTTAAATTACATTTACATGAGTTTTCGTTAGATTTGTTCTCTTCATAAATATAATCGATATAAAAAATTGTTGTTCGAATTGCTAATCGAGTTGTTTACAAAATTTTGTGCTTGTGTTTTTGTTTTTGTTTATTTTTTTTTTTTTTTTTTTGATTCGAGTCAAGTCACATTTAAATGCAGTTTTGCCATGCCATTTCCATATCCGTTTTCCATATACACTTTTCGCTATACTTAAGCCGTAAAAGTTTTTTTTTACATTTCAATATTAAAGTTAGGGACAATAAATAAGTTATTATAAAATAAGAAACAACAGTTGTTACAATTTGAAAAGACAATTTCAAATGAGCGTCAGTTAATTGAGATTATTACAAGTAATTTGAAAAAAAGTCTTAGCTAATGTATAAACGCGTTTTATTTAATTATATTTGTTTTTTTTTGTTTTCTCTAAGAGCTCATCGTCAAGTGTTTTGGCTATTGTTGAAAATTAGGAAACGCCTGGGCTACATTATAATTATAATACATTTAATAAACAAATTAGGAATTGCTTAGATATTGTTCTCTATACTTTAGCACTGATATGCGAAACCAATGTTTCGTTGGTTTCTGGTTTTTTCTTTTAGTTATTTGCTGCTGCTCTTGATTAAAATTAGTACAATACATTCGATTCAATTGACTAGATTTCAATATGGGTGTAGCTGCTTTTGAATTATGGTTTAAGTGCTGCTGCTTTTTTTATGTTAATTACTTTTAGTTTTCTAATGGGAGGGAGTCGTATTGTGTTTTCTTTTGTGCCATGCGGTTCTCAGTGAATTATGCAAATAATATTTAAACTTATACATATTCAAAATTACAGAGTAAAAAAATGATAATGCTCAATGAATCAAGTGCGCAAGTTGTGATTTGTTGTTGATTTGTTCACGCTTAGGTAGAGATACGTAAGGGCGTTCCATTTTATCTGTGTGTTTGTTCTCTCTGCTGGTTCTGAGTATTCTCTGATGCCGATTTCCGCTGCTTATTTACATAACTAAACACTTTCGCTGGCGTCGCTTTAACGGCTCCGGCTTCAGCACCGCGCGCACCGCCTCCTCGAACACCTAAACAAATAGAGAATCGGATTGAAATAAAATTGTGTAGCCGTTGCCTTGGTGTGTCACTTACTTGCTTGAGTCCGCGCTGTGTCAGGGCGGAGCACTCCATGTATTTCACAGCGCGTATTTTGTTCGCAAGCTTCTGGCCTTGTTCGCGCTTAAGCGGCGTCAACCCCTGCTCGGCCAGGCCGCTCAATGTCTCGCGATCGTCACGCAAATCGATTTTGGTGCCTGAAAGCAAGAGGAAGACACCGCAAAGTCATGCCACACCTGAGAGCTAAAATCGCATCCACACACTTACCCACTAATATGATGGGCGCGTCTGGGCAATGATGCTTGATCTCTGGATACCATTTGGAGGTGACATTTTCGAACGATGAGGGGCTCGCAACGCTGTAGCATATCAGGAAGACATCTGTCTGTGGATAGGAGAGCGGCCTCAACCGATCATAGTCCTCTTGACCGGCTGTATCCCATAGGCCGAGTGACACTTGTATTGTATCCACTTGCATGGGTGCGGAGTAGTTATCGAAGCTGTCCGGAAATGAAGGGATTGCATACAAATATGATTAGAGAAGATCAACGAGTATATGTACAGAGTTGGAAAACACTTACACTGTAGGCACATATTCACCGGGAAAACTGTCTGTTGTGTAGGAGATTAGCATGCAAGTCTTTCCGACGGTACCGTCACCAACGACGACACATTTTATGGGTCTTCCGGTTGACATCGTCGAGTCGTGACTGTATTTGCTGAATGAGCGAAATGTGAATGTGAGTGTGCTTTTCGTCAGAATATCTTGTTTTGAATGAATGCGTGCGCATTTAATTCAATTAATTAAGCTATACTTGAGGCAATAAACTCTATACCCAACTCTCTACATCTTATCTGACGGCGCAATGATATGTATGTATGTAAGTAAATATATAAATATATACATATATCTGAACAAACGAACACACACTGACAATTTAATTACTTTTAGTGCCACGGCGAGTGTACACTTATATACATATATTTATATATACGATCAAAGGCTGGCATCAAAAGGTGTGTCCCAGCCGCAAACATAATAAAACGAAAGTTTTATATACACTTCAGGGCATTTTCTTTGTTTTTTGCAAATAATATTTACGAAAATAGATCATGATGCGGTAAAGACTGCGACACACATAGAGAAATTGCGGAACACCAATATCTAGATACCCTTACTTATTGAAAAATATCTAAAAGAAAACTGAGAAAACCATAAATCCATATTTATTCGGAAGCCTGTCAGATGTACATATGATATATTGCACAGATCTGGTCGCTTCAGGCATATTTTATATATTATATAATAAACAACAAAATAAATAGGTATATATCTATATGAAAATATTACTGGGTTGAAATGAAATAGTATCTCAGAAAATATGGTGCCAACTGTATGTGCGTAGAGAGTGTAGTAATAATTTTAAGCCTGCAGAATTTGCTAGAAATTGATTTAAGCTATCAATTGATCATGAATACACATATGTACATATAGTATGTACATACATCATTATATACACTATTTTCAACTTAGGGATGCCTCCTTCAATGTGTTACAGATTTCATCACAAAATTAAATTACTCTCTCTCGTACTCTCACTCTCTTTCTCTCTCTACGCACACACACGCGCGCACACACAACAGCAAAATGGCAATAGTGTCGTCGACAAGAGCCCTCGGGGGCGCCAATGGAGCAGTGCGTCTGAATGGGCGTCGAGGCAAACTGGAGGGGCGGCAACAGACGAATGCGCCCAAATGTTGGACGGACGCGCATTGTTAAAAATAGACACAATTAAGTACTAATAATGCAGGCGGTGGCAGCGCTTGCGACCCCGCCACAGACAAGCGGCTGGGCTTTAACCGTAATTTGTAATGCCAATTCAATTACAGTTTAAGTGAAAAAGCAGCGGACATATCATTGCAGGCACATGCAATGCAACTGCAGAGCAGGGCGCGCTGATCTCTCCCTCTCTCTTATTGTTATGGTCGAGCGCTGCTGCAGCGCTGGACATTCGTCACTTTCGCTCTGTTGTTGTTTTGCTCTCAGCGGGCGCCGCAACCGCAGGCCGCTGCAAGCAGCTGCGGCACGTTCACATTTTGCGTGCAGTTTAGCTTATATTGATATACACAAGCAAATGTATATGTATGTATATAACCAGGTTAATACCGTTTCTTAACTATCCTTTGTCTGCGGCGGCAGATTGGAATCGTGTATTGTATTCGAGCTGTTTTGTACTATGCTTATATCACTGGTATTTGTATTTGTATGCAGCACACACTTATGCACATGTAATGCGTTGGTAAACACGCATACACACACTAACGTTTCAACTAACTTTAACACTATTTTATTATTATTTTTATAAATTAATAATTATTTAAGTGGCAGCGCAGCGTTTGTATTTTCTTTAATTCTGCTTTTTTGTTGTACACCAACACTCACGCACACACGCGCACACATACACGCCTTCTTTTGACAGCGTCGCTCAACTCTGACAAGCAGTGTTGCAATGCGTGTCAGCGAAATCATCGTTTTTAACGCTGCACAACACTCAGAGTTATTATGTTGGCTGAAATGAGTAAATTGTTTTTTGTCAGCCGTCTTAGCAGTTATAATAAACTAATTCAAGGCGCACTTGGTTCAAAATCGTGCAGAAAAAAATTTTGTCTGAGTGCTGCCAAATATTCGGATACGGGTCAAAGCGATGCACCAAGCGTGTTGGTCGAAAAAGATGCCAACATAACATTGATTGGTATCAACAGAGAGCAACAGCGCAATTCAATTGATGCAGCCACCGCGGTGAAGCTAAGCGAGGCCATCAATCAATTTGAGGCGGATGACACGTCGCCTGTGGGAGTGCTATACGGCGTGGGCGGCTCTTTCTCGGCGGGCTATGATTTGAAAGAATTGGAAGCGGAGGCGCAACGCGGCAGTCTGAACTTTTTGCTGCGCCATGAGGGCTCGGTGGGTCCCACAAGGCGCCACCTACGCAAACCCATTATATGCGGTATCAGCGGTTTCTGTGTGGCCAGCGGGCTAGAGCTGGCACTACTCTGCGATCTTCGAGTCATGGAAGACACGGCTGTGTTAGGCTTCTTCAACCGCCGGTTGGGCGTGCCCATAAGCGATGGCGGCACCGTGCGTCTGGTTGCCGCGGTGGGCTACTCAAATGCTGTCGATATTATAGAGACGGGTCGGCGCGTGTACGCCACAGAGGCACTGCGCATTGGACTAGTCAATCGAATTGTGGCCACAGGCACAGCGCTGGGCCAGGCAGTCAACCTGGCATTTTCGATAGCCAAGTTTCCATTGGCCTCGCTGCAGCACGATCGTAATGCGACACTGGATAATGCCAATGTCTATGCGCGTCCAGGTTTTCATTCAGCCGTAAGCAACGAAATCATGAATGTGACTGCGGCCATGGTGACAGATATGCAGGAGGGCGTCAAGCGTTTCAAGACATGTAAATACATTTCATTATAAGACGTGCTTTTTTAATAAATCCTCTCTACGCAGCTGAAGTTAAAGGCCCCAAAACGGATGCCTGGCACATCAAGCAGAATTCTCTACCGGATTGGGAGAGAGCCGAAATCGAAATAGAGCAACAGCTAAAGGAGAAGAAATAACAAAATTGCAATATTCCACATCTCAAATGCATTTAGTGCAATAGCATGTAATATATGTAAATAAGAATGGTTTTTATTTGTTTATTTTTTGTTGCTGTTGTTTGTTTATTCACATATAATATATTTTATAAATTAGTTGCACACTTAAATCGTTTACGATTTGAGTTTTGAGTTTACTTCAATATTCACAACAATTACAATAACGAAATTTCCTTGAAATTAAGCCTAACTACAAAAAAGAGAATAAGAGAAAAAGCACAAAATTTGTTTCGTGTGTGTGTGTGTGTGTGTGTGTGCGGTTGTGTATATGTAAGAATGTTTGTTTCACAATAAGTTTATAATATATAAAAAATATGCTAGTATTAAGTACTCGTACACACATTTAATTTTTTTTAAATGTTAGGCCAAGCGAGCTCTTGTTAATTCTTTGTTTTTGATTCAAGCGATTTTTGCTGTTAATAAGTACATATATATATATATATGAATATATTTTTATCTTTAAATGGTTGTTACTTATGGCCTAAAAATTGTTAACGAAAGGAATTGTTATTATTGCACTTAAGTCGAGAAAAAACAAACGAAGCTCAATGCAAAAAAGGCTGCTGTTGTACAAACTAGTTTAAAAATCGACTGAAAAATCATTTTCATACAGTTACGCACATTTAAATGCGCACGCGTACGCACATTTTGTTGTTGTATTTTTCTTGTAATTCATCGTACATCATTAATGCTAAACATTTACAATCGTTTATTATACTTAAGCCAAAAAGTTTGTCATACAAATATTGCACAAAAAATGGATCGGACTGTGAGTTTTGCACACCAATATCAAATTGCTAAACCTTCAATCAAGTGGTGGTATGAGTTCATATATCGTTTCAGATATTATATATGGTATTCAGAAACCTAAAGACCACAATACAATAAGTACATATACATATTTACAAATGAAAAAGCCAAGGCGCGCCTTCTGTATAAAAAATATGCGTTATAAAGCAATTGCAATTTGCTGCGACATTAGCTGGCGGCGTGCTATAAGTACTATATAGTTATTTATATATATATATAGATATATGCTTCACGGTAATATAGCATTAGGCATATGCTTAATATCCAATTACTTGAGACGCTGTGTTACATTGGCCAGCGCCACGGCAAATGCCTGCAGCGCCGAGAAGGGATACTGAAAATCCAAGGTGTACGCATTGCCATCAATGCGTCCAAACTGCATCACCTGTAAGATATCAAGAGTTTTATATATATATTATCTAAATATGGTCACATACATAACGGTATATTGCGTATTCACTAAATGTGATCAAAAATAATCTTCGGCAGGCCGAATATAGCAGTTATTTATGGTTAGAGATTGATTTGGGTCCGCACCTGCTTGCCACGAAATTCAATTTGGAAATTCTTGGCCGACTCCTGGGTGACGCGTCCGCCAAAGTCCAGCTGATATACTTGGCTCATCTCGTTCCACATGGGCGCCTTGTTGTGCATCACGAATTCGCGACGCACTGGCGCCGTATTGGCGCAACTGGCACTGCCATTTGGCTCGATCTTGCCACGTTTAAGCTGCATATAGGAAAGCAGGTTATGTTTATGAATTGGATTCATTTACCAGCTGCAGAGCTCACCTTCTGGCGCAGCTGCGCCTTTTGGAATGTTTCCAGATCGCGATACTGTTTTCCATTGCCATTGCCATTGCCGGTGCTGCCCATTTCCTCGCCGGAGCCATTCGTAAGATTGCCCTCATCGTCGGAGCTCTCAATGATGCTCGGCTTCTTACGCTGACGGCGATTCAGGAGCGGCGAGTTGAGTATGTGGCGTATGGGCGAGTTGCTCTGTTGTCGCTTGTTCTTCTTGCTGGCCGCCGGCGAGGCGGGTGAGCTGCGCGGCAAACGCTGCGGCGTCGATGGCGGCGTCAATCGACCCTCATCCAGATCACGCAAGCGACTGATGATATTTTCGAGAGTGGTCAGGGCCTGAAATGCAAAGGAAAGTTGAACAGGATTTACAGTGCTAGAATTTTAGCCTAGAGTTTGAGCCGGCGATATTGATCGATATTTATCGATTTACAGTAAACGTCGTAAGTTATCGGAATTTTCAATAAGCTCAAACAGCGAGAGTTCGAATTCCAAAGCTGGCGTATATAGTTTTTATGGACACTGGGATAAACTGAAAACGCAGTTACGTATATTTTCGATATTTATCGATTCCAGTTATATAATGCGAGTTATCGATCTTTTAAATCAACGAACTGCGAAACAAAAACCTATACGCAAATATTGGTATATATATAGATCTCATAATCAAAAATGCCCTCATCTGCCTTGATACATACATTCGGACAACTCCTGCATACACTTCTGGTCACTAAATGGCTGCAGAGCATAACAAGAAAAAGATTAAACCGTTGCCCAGTTCTCACCTGCGTGTGCAGTGACACCGACGCTTTGGCCTCCACGGGCGTCGCCTCCACAGTGCCGCAGGCAACGCTGCCCGTTTCCGAATGCTGTCGCTCCAGTGTGCTGGCATTGCTGGCGCCTTGGGTCTGGCTTTGGCTGGGCGCCGGTTCCTTGCGTCGCCAGCGCACCTCGGACAGTTGCTTGACAAAGCTAAAGCTGTTTTCCTGCTTGCGTGCGAGCAGAGGCGTAGAGTTCTCCGTGCTGCTGCCCGCTGCCAGCTCCTTGCTGCGTCCATAGCCAAAGCGATGTTTGCGGGTGAAAAGCGGACTGTCCGTGAAGCTAGTGATGACGTCGAAACGTTTCTTGGGCGTCGGTTTGCTAGGGACCGCTACAGCAGCTGCCGGCGTTGGCTCCTTGGCGGGCTCCACAACGACCGTGGTGATCTCGTCCAGCGCCGCGCTGGCCGCTGGCTGACAGCGCTTGCAAATGCTAGCGGGATTCATGTTATTGCGACACTTGAAGCACAGCGTATTGGCCGCGCTGCTGCAGGCACTGCTATCGGAGATCTCCTGCAGCTTGCGCACCACCTGCTCGTGTTCCTTGCTGGACAGTTTCGTTTGCAGCGAGAGCAAATCGCAGGAGTCCAGGCTCTTCGATTTGCCCGTCTGCTGCAGCTTATGCCTGCGCGCATCTGCCTGCTGTTGTCGCTTGCGATTACGATTGCGCCGCTTATCCACCAGGATAAGACGCTTATTGGGCGCATCCTTGCGCAGCGCCGACAAAGCCTCATCCGAAGGCGTGATGGCCACCGAATCCAAATAGCCCACGCTGCAGCTGCGCGTTATGGAGTCGGGTAGCGCGGGTGCTATAGAAACGACAGTCGGAGTGCGTTTCATGCTGCCGCTTGTGGCAGCTGAGGAAGTGGCGGTGGCATTGCTGCTGCTGGTGGTGGGTGTTGGCGACTGTGTCTCCTCATCTATGTAGAGCATGTCGCGCCGCTTCGTTGTGGAGCTGGCAGGCGCTGAACACTTAATAGCCCGTGCGTCCATGCGCTCCAGATTGAGATTGAGATTGAGCGGCACCGGATTCACATGACTGTTGGCGGAGCGTACTGGCTCCGACATGAGCGCATTCTTCACCTGCACCACATTGTTGGCATAGTCGGCATTGCTCGAATAGGACATCAACGTGGTCTGGCCGGTGGCGGGCACAGCAGGTCGCTCGAATATGATGTCCGAGGGCGCCACCGCATTCTTGGGCGATTGTAGCGTCGGCACGGAGCCATCGCAGTAGAGCGGCGAGATGGCGTGCCGGGACTGGCAGCTGGAATTGGAGCTGGAACGACTG